CTGCAAAATTTAAAGTTCAGTTCAGGTTCAATTGAACTTGAACCTGAATCTAAATTGAACTGAACTGAACTTCGGAACACTAACTACTAGTTTAAACTATATTAATTTATAAAATTAATACAAACTATCTTGTTACAGTTTATATAACTAATCTAGTATAGTTATAGTATTTAATGTTAAATAATTTAAATTAATATAACAAATTGTTTTTAAATACCCAAAAGAGCAATTAGAAAAAATCAGGTTTGTAAATTAAGTAATTATTTGTATAGTTATACAATTATCTTAATAAAAATATTGTCAAGATTGTTAAAATTTTCAAAAAAACTAATATATTTTAAAATAAGTATAAGTTTTTATTTGTTTTTTAATACAAACTTTTTTTTTATAAATTTTATATTTAGCATTAAACAAAACAATATATTATTAGCTTTTATTTATTTTTTTTCTAATACTAACTTTTTTTTTTGTAATCTTGTATATATATAAGCCAAATAAAATACTATTGAATTTTGACTTTTGAAAACCAAAAGACAAAATATTTCCAAATTAATTTGACTCTATTTTATTTAACAAATAAAGTTTTTTGATAAATTTTTTGAATTTTTTGATTCAAAATATATTTATAAAAGCAATATTTGAAAATTTGGTAAATTTGTAAATTAAACTAATTTATTTTTTTAAAAAATGTCGCTTTTATAAAAGTCGTTACTTTAAAACACCAAGAATACTAAAACTTTATTGATCAGCAAAACTCGAAGCACTCTACATAATATTAGAAAACATAGACTTCCATAAGCACAATTTCCTATTGTACAATCATTATTATCAAAAAAACCAAAAATCTAACAATTATAGTTAATAGCAGAGAAAATACTCTTTAAACATTAACGTTTAATGAAATGCACAAAGTTAATTAGTCTTCAAATTATCACATTATTCTACATCATATCAAATAATAAACTTTTTTTTTTAAACATTGGAAGCTTATCAAAAAACCTATAGAAATCTAAACTAAACTAAATCTATCCGGTTGGGAATAGTGAAAGAGATCAGACACGAAGAAGTATCAAAATCACAAATATTATCAACTTACCATTCATTCAATACTTTTCGAAATCAGAATCTACTCACATCAGCCCATGTATTAAATATAACTAACTACATTAATAAGAATTAAGAGTGAACAATACTAATATTATTATATTCCTAAGAGAACAACAATGTGCAAGAAATTGTCAGGGTAGCAAAGGTTTTGTGATGCCCATACTATGGGTATCTCTAATTGTGGAATAATTCCATGAATTACTGGGACTGGAGCAGCAGATGCATTCTCACTAGGCAAAGGAGATGGGAATAGTTCCGGAAGAACCTGATGTAATACATCCCCTAGTGTAAGTTGGTTTCCTATTCAAAGTTTATAAGAATAGTGAATTAATACGTTAAATTTTAATAATGAAATTATTATAAAAGACCATCTACCGTTCTCATCAATTGGAGAGATTGGCTCCTGTATAACAGGACAATTATCAGGTAAATATATTCGTATTGGAATATGTTTTGGCATTTGTCCATCATTAATAACAAGGCGGTAATTCACACTCCAGAATCTATCGTAATTCTCTGTGCGGTATTTTTGAGCGAAAAATAAGAGTTAAGGCATAATGATTTTAATACTTAGAATTACTTCCAGCTAGTTAAATATTCTCGTTGCATAAAGCATTAACGAAGTTGTCGTTAGTGACAGACTCGAATATTTTTTCAAAATTAGGATACTAGACCACAGTCCATCCCAAAGCTGTGTTTGATCATTTTTCGATAAATTCATCACCTTCTTTGTGCTTCCATTTCTTAGAAAATCAGCCTTATAATTAAATATCAATCAGACAAGAAATTAAAATGTGCTCAATATTTTAATATGAAGGAATAAATGATATGATTCAGAATTTACAAAAACTTACTTCCTTAATCATTGACATGAAAAAATCCTGCGTTGCATCAATAGCTTGTGCTCTTATCAGTTTATCTGCAGGAAAATTTTTGAAATGTACTGTTACAGGCCAAGGTAAAGGTGGCGGGCTATTAGAGTCTGGCCGATATCCAGTATGTAAATCATACAACAGGCCTATAGGATAATGCCTTTAATTCGATTACATTAATTAAAATTGAAATTCACAAGCCCTTCCCGTTAAAATAATATGAAACAAAAAAAAAAACAACAAAAAAAATTATAACTTACCATTTCAATGGAGTTCCGTCAACGTCATACCATATATCAGCATCGTCTCCAATAAAATTCAGCGCCATATCCACAAAGTATTTTCTTATTTGACTCGTCCACAAAGGGAAGTATGAGCATCGTGGTGCCTCGATCTGTCACAAAAAGTTCGTCGGTATGATTTGTTAAAATCGATCAAATTTTCGGTATATACTGCGATACTATACTTGAAATTCAGCTCACAAAATAAGGTTCAACTATAGCTTTGGCGCCCAAGGCAGCTGCTTCTGTGCTGTCAAGAGAAAATTTGATGGGTAATGTTCCATCCCAAATGGCTCTAGTAATGGGGTTTTGAGGCGCTGTCATAATAGTTTTTCGGCTTAATGTATAAGTGCATTGAATGCCCCCTAAAAATATAAGATGCGTGATCATGTGAAAATTTTAATCTTGGCGCAGGATATATTTGTTGGCCAATCATATTCAATTTAAGAAAAATGAATAAAACGTGAAAAGTTTGATTTTGATTCCTTCCCTTTAAAAGAATCTGACAAATTGCTCTATTCATAATGTATGATGCACTAATTATAGTTATAATTTTTACAAGAATTTAATCGTTTTAGTAACTTTTGTACTGATACTGAACCATTTTTATACAATTATTATTCATAGGGTGAACTTGAGTAGTCAGAAAAGGTTGGCAGCTAGTGTACTTGGCTGTGGTAAAAGGAAAGTTTGGCTCGATCCAAACGAAGTGACCGAAATCTCTAATGCCAATTCTCGTAAGTAATTTATATGAGATCACTTTTAACGGTACATTTTTCATTGTGTACGAATTACAAATGCGGGCGATGTTTGTCGAGTTCTTGATAATGAATATCAACAAAAAAGTCGATTATCGATCCGTTAGTGGCATTACATTATTCCGTCACATCGGACAATAATGAAAGAATTAACCGTTTACATCTCAGTAAATCACATCATCTCTACACAATGAATAATACAGGTCAAAACATTCGAAAACTTGTAAAGGATGGTTTAATCATCAAGAAACCGCAAATTATTCATTCCCGCTTTCGTGTTAGAGAAAAATTGGAGGCCAAACGTAAAGGTCGACACACCGGTCCCGGTAAAAGAAAAGGTACTGCCAATGCTCGTATGCCTACCAGCGTATTATGGATGAGGAGGCAACGTGTATTAAGAAGGTTATTAAGAAAATACCGTGAATCGGGTAAAATCGAGAAACACTTGTATGTATTTGTTTATATTTTTAATCGATATTAAATCAATATTTTTCTGATCGTTATCGTTATCATTATATATTTTATAAAGGTACCATCAATTGTATATGAAGGCGAAAGGTAACGTTTTCAAAAACAAGCGTGTTTTGATGGAATATATCCATAAGGCTAAAGCCGAAAGAGTTCGTATTAAGCACCTCGCGTAAGTATACATCACGAGTAATCTTTGATGATTCCATCTCCCGATTGACAAATGATAATTTGATATATTATATATATCTAGTGACCAGGCTGAAGCTCATCGTCAAAAGGCTAAGGCTGCTCGTGAGCGTCGTGCAAATCGCCAAGCTCAAAAGAAGATTGAATTGCTTGGCTTGGACGTCGAAGAAGAACAACAGCAACCACCACCACAAAAATGATAAACTGGATATCTCTTAAACTGTTTCTTGTAAAAATACTGAAATTTTTTTAAAAGGTTTATTTTTAAAATAAAATTCTAAATATTAATTTTAGCTATATACTTTTTAAGTAA